ATTCTGAAAGCACGTAATGTTCTCCCATATCCTACATAACAATGCAACCACTTGTATTGTAATCATTGAAGTAGTGAGTGAAATTCTCAAAATCCCCAAAATCATATGGATATGATGGTGGTGGTGGCTGCGGCATTCTCGAGTGATAATGATCATATGAAGCTGATTCACCACCAAAGAACCGTGAGCATTGTGGGTTCCAAGTCTCATACCTTGAACTATACGAGTCAAAATGCGCCTGTTTCTGATAATCTGCATGATTCCCAAACATTTGTTTCCCCACCCAAGAAGGCACACCTCGATTGGTACTTGCATTTCTTTGGAATCGGAAGTGTGGATGCTTGAATATATCCTCTTCATCATCCTTTTCCTTTCTGGGTGCTTCGTGATCCCTGTGAGCCTCGTCATTGTTATCTTCCTTGGGTGGATGCAGATCATCATCGCGGCAGCAAAAGTTGGGATGCTTTTCTCTACCATTTTGCCAAGACTTTGGATTGCCATGATCATCATCATGGTTAGGATGCTTTTCTTTGCAACAATTTCCACTCCTTTCGTTATGGTACTGGTGCTTGTCCTCTTCAATTTTGGGCTCCTTGTCATAAAATATAAGTTCAACAGGTTTTCCAGTTCTGCCAATCTCCTTAACTAGCAAGAAAGGGTCTATATTGCCTCTAATTAATACCAGATTCTTTTCTGGATCTATAGACAATTCATGAATACCTAACAGGGAAGGCCAGAACAGTATAAAATATAAGCAAAACTTAAAATCAATCAATGACTTGAACATATAGTATTCATTAACAGACCTTCGATTGCTCGCAAACCTTTGTGCACTTTTTCATGACATTCTTCGCAGCACCCAGTTTTGACTCTTACTACAATAATCTGAAATAGTTTGATTGATCAAGAAAGCTAATAACCACAATTTCAGACCATAAATTACAGAAAACATGAGGACAACTGACACTTACCGGATCAAGAGCACGATTTTTCATTGTCCAAGCCTTGTTGCATGGGGGAGGGAAAAAAAAAAGAGCATGAAAACTACTTTAATATTTAAGCAGCATTGCAAAAAGGCAATTATATATAATCCAAGCTTTGGTAATTCAAGAGAAAATTGAAGTTTCCACCATCCAACACCACAAACATCGGTAGCATCAGCATTATACCATAGGTAGCATTGCATTTTCATATAGTATAAGTTCATGATCAAAATAACTAAAGCAACAAGACGAATGTAATTGAGATTTTTTTTCGTTGTATGATTAGTTCCAGTTAAGTTAACCCTTTGAATCCTTTTCCCTGTACTTCCAACAATAAACACTTTCACATAGCTCCTCTCCACTGATGTAGTTCAATCAAGAGACATGCCAAATAATACGAATTCCAGCTTTATGTAGCCTAATTTTAGACCTTTGACTCTGAAAATCTCTATGTACAGTTCAGAATTGTATCCCTTTAGTCATAAAAGGCAAAAAGTGTCCAATTAATTGTCTCTGGCTCTATAGGTTCGTTCAAATCATGGGTACTTAACTATCAAGATCTTATCCCTAACCCTTAAACAAAAAAAAATAAAAAAGAAAGAAAAACTTAGCCGTAAAATACTAAGAACAACTAGATCCTTAAAACACTATGTTAGGACACTTGACAAAATTTATGAAAATCAATGGAAGTGAATTAGAACCAAAACCAAAGCCAAGTTGAAAGCTTACCAACTTCTACTAAAACAGTATTGCCAAGTATTTTGCCCCAGAGTTCAAACTAATTTTTGTGCCAAAACATGTACATGTACGAATAGAAAGAAACTTATAAAGCAGAGACATGTTGGCTAAAGGAAGTTGTTTATCCATCATGAGAACACAAAAATATTTTAACCAAGCCATAGTATCCAGCCAAAACTGAACTTAAGGAAAATTAAACGGAAGAAAAATTAATGTAATTTTTTTTCGTACGAGTTGTGGGGGGAAAAAAGAAGAGAGACAGGATCCATAAAGGCACCCACAAGGACCAGAAATAACAATAATTGGACGACTGAAACCTACGTCATTAGCATTACATGGAATGTATTCTTTTTTTTTTGTCTGTCTTGAATATATGAAGTAAATTTTAGTTTATATATTAAATAAATAAAAGAAACAGCTAAGCGTATCAATCTTACGATTCTGATTCTGCTAATGTTACTTCAAATATGTCGTATATTATGAAGTACAAATAACAAAAATAATAATTACCATAATTAGTAACAAATAAAAATAATAGAATTTTTAGCAGGACAAGAATCAGTGGCTAGAACACATAATTACCATATAAATGCGGAAATTTATATTGATTGCTCTCCCTATTTATACACTTTCTTGATTTACTTTCTCTTTTCCAAAAAAACTAGTTTTCCTTAATCAGTTAAAGAGCTAACTCGAAGTTACTAAATTTAAACATGGTTCCTCTTGTGTTTCTAAGTCAGCACTTCCTTCTACATTGTGTCTCCTTTTTTGCTAATTTCCTCTTGATTCCTTAAGGAAACAATTATTCCCTTTCATTTTCTTCTGCAAAAAAGGAAATGTTTCGTCTTATAATTGTGAATCTAACTTCTATTCTCTTCAACCTTTTTCCTCGCCCACGAAAGGAAGAAACTATAAAACCCTAAACTTTATAGTCTTCTTCACAAGAAAGTAGCCACAGTAGAACGATTTCTTGAGTTCCAGGTATGTTATTCAATAATGCCGTCTTTAATACTATTTTATTTGAGTATCAAAGCATATTTAATTTGATAACGATTCTATGATTTTTTCAATGTTTCTGGATGCAAGAATGCACATGCGTATCTGAGCATTTATTTTATCTGATTATTTTAGACTTTTCAATCTTTCAATTATATTTGTTGCTTATTGCATTTTTTTCCTTTTGTTATTTTTGGTTTTTGTAATTGTTGTCGTATACATCGGTATGAAGTTTGTGAAGGAGATTTGACTGGGTTTTTCGAGGGATATGTGCATCATAAAAAATGCTCAATTGCAAATTTCTTTGCTAAAAGAAGGGAAAAAAACTAGAAAAGTAACTGATAATTAGAAAATTAAGAGCTTAGTTGAAATTCAAATAATTGGCATGCATCTATTCCCGTGCTATAATATATACAGGAGTCAATAGCATTTGTCTAAAAAAAAAAAAAAAAAGCATTTGTCTAGAATATAATTTTTACACCATGAAAAGACTTGGACTAGCATTGTTAGGCATATTTAAGGAAAAAGTACCCAAAAGTTATAGTACACTATTTCAGTTTGCAATACGTGATCTTTCTCATCAATTCTGCTCCTCATCAATATCACTAGGCTAATTATTGATTTCTCATTTTGTTTTTCATCACATCCTCTACAGCAACAACGATTTGCCATGAAGTTCCTTGGTTTCAATTTCTTTGCTCGGAAACGACAAGTTGAAATACCTCCTCAAGTTGAGCAAGAGGAGTTGATGTTCATGGTATATTCTACTACAATTTCCTTTTCATCAAAAGTTAAATTTAGATAATTAATTTCTCAATGCTTAGTCTCTCACTCATTTAATTGGTTCTGTATTTCATTTTACTTTCTTCAGAATTGTGTTATAAAAATGAATAGGCTTCAAAAGGGGTGGCAAAAGGCAAGAATACAAATAATTGATTGTATCCAAGGTATTGTTAAAATTTCACTTTGTTGTTCCCTCTTTATTCATTTTCTTTTTTCCTCTATTGTTTCATCACTTCGCATACATCGCTATCTCTGATTTAGTTGTAAGTAGAATAGTCTTGGTCACAGAAAATTAAGGGATTTTCCCTTCAAAACCTGTGTGTATTGATGTTTAGCTGTACGATTAAAAAGAAATAGGTATAATACAGTTGTGTTGTGTGTGATTCAATTCGGTTATTGTATACGCTGAAAATTTTTATTTGCAATCACATTAATCATTATAATGTTGTAATGAATACATGTGAAATATTTATTTATATGCGTCACTTTTTTCACGAATATAATAATATACCAACTCTATACCAAATAAGATAATAAATACAACAACCAGAGTGAATCACACGGAATCACTGCCCCTAGTCCAAACAAAAAGTATTGCTGTTATTGCTAACAAAAAAAATGTCGAATTTGTTTCCTATATTACGTATGTGTCCTTGTAATTCACAAGTCTTGCGTTTTAGACTGGCTGAGAAAAGTGCTTTAGTTTTTCTTAATTAATTATCCAGAATTTTCAGTGGTTAGTTTTGAGCCTTCAACGCATATAATTTATATTCCAGAAATTATGGACTGACTGAATCTAAATGCTTAATTTGTTTGGCTAAATCTTGGTGTGCATTCATTTCTCTTCTCTACACCATCAGTTCGCAATTATAGAGGGGAACAAGACGAAACAATGATACTATCAGGAATGTGTCATCCCACGGAACTCTTAAGGACGATTAGGAATTGCAAAAAGAAAGCCGAGCTGTGTTGGTTTGAATATGGAAATTGCTCTAGCTATTTGTACGGGCCAAGCAGCGGAGTTCCTCGCCCACCACAGCCAAATCAACCTTCAAACATACCTGCCGCAAGTGCTAGTGATCAAGCAGCAAGAGGTACTGGAATTGCTACCCGAAGGGCTAATGATCAAGCAGCAAGGAGTGGAAATGCTACCCGAGATGGCAACAAAATCCACTACTAAGTAGTGGTGAAGGCATTAGTTGTTATGTGGTTTAAGGTTGAAGGGCAGGCTGAGATTTACTTTTTGAAGGGACTACGTTATAATAAGTAGTGTTTTTTCAAGCAACTGATGATATTTGACTGGAACGTTATAGTACTTGATTACGTTTTTTGCCTATTTATCTATATTGGAATGAGGGCAATTTGCTCTTTACTTTTTTTGTCAAGACTATCGCATATTGATTGAGAATCTTATGAGCCGTTTGTTTAAAATTTCAGAATCACTATCACTATATGCATCACAAATTGTAGAGCATGAAAGGCTTAACCAACAAAGTAAGTGAGAGAGCAAGATCTTGGAAGTGGCAGTTGAAAGTAAATGGGAACTTGGCACTGAGAATCTAATTAAAGTGCCCTAGCACAGCACAATAAAAGGAACAAATTCATGCTTCCTCCACCATATATATCTCTCTTGTTCTGTTTCTGCATTTACACTAGAATCAATAGGTAAAATTCTCCACTTTGCTAACTCCAAATCCATTGCATCCCTGCTTTCAGCAGCCAAATCCAATGGTTCATGGGTATAAAACCAAGCACATACTAGATAATAAATCACATTTACTACTTGTATTCCAGTTATCAGCCAGTAGTAATTCTCCAATCTTCCGTGATTGAGATTCCTATCAGGCAGCCAATTTCTTTCTTTACCACTGTATTTATGAACTGAAGAGACTAAGATGGACCTCTTTCGAAAAAAAAGAATGGTGGACCTGAAATATATCCACGTGTTCAAAGTACCACAAATGGGGCTTTATGTTACATCATAGAATTGGGCGGCACCAATTTGGGCTAGAACATATTAGTCCCCCCAAGTAATCCCATAGCATAAATGAGTTATTTTCGCAAGAGCCCCTTAATCCCAAATACATCCCACTCAATGCTCCCCCACCATCATCAGGCTGCACTTAAACAAAAAATCGAATTCTCAACCTTCGTGTCTAGTACCACCAGGAAATTCTAAGAAAGAAAAATTGAGAAAAGTGGAGAGGCAAAACAGACAAATGCATGCAGAAGACTCAAATCTGTTTCTCAACAGCGATCACACTAGGTGAAAAATGATCAGCACACAAAAGAATTTGTCATCCAATAACAGTTTCTAGTTATTTCTATTCTCAACTGAAGTTCAAGAATCTAAAACATAAATCCCAACTCTTTCTTGTTCGGTAAAACTTGAATCCTTGTTTCATGCATTTATATATCATGAAACTGATGGCAATTTAATCTGCTTAGCATATCGTTAAGGATAATAAATATATAAGAGGAGAGCAATAGAATCTACAATTGTGATCGTGGGGAAATAATTCGTCAACTCTCATATATTAGGCTTAACAGGTTGGAATAGAACAAATGACACAAGGAAGAAACTCACGTACCCAATGACATAAATGACACTAAATAATCAATTAGAGGCCTGCCAAGACATTTACAACTAAAGCAATTAAAATCGGTCATGTGAATTTGAGGACAAAGTAAAGCGGTGTTCAGAAGTAAGAGCATATCAACAAATGCTGGCATTCTCCACCTACAATTAAAAAAGGCACTACACATATATATGCAATGGATCAATCATCAGTTCCACATTATATGCCTATTCCTTTTTACTACTACTTCCTCCATGTCCTCTGTTTTTTGTTGGTAGATAGCAACTTGTCTGGTTTCTCAGGTTGCTATTTTAATATGATTATTACACCATGCCCAAGTCACCAGAAAAAAAGCTTTCTGAATTGTGTACAAAAATGCTATCTGAATTGTATAATACTTGACACAATTCAGAAAAATGCTATCCAAACAATCAGGTTGCTAATTTCATATGTTTGATTTCTCAAAAAGCTGAGTTTAATAAAACATTAACCCAACAATTCCTACGAAAATATTCAAGCCAGTGATGATTTTCCAAAATCAGATTGGTGAAACTAAAAAGAAAAGAGAAAGGAAAGAAACGAAAATAGCCAGAGCTGAATAATAGACAAAAAAAGGAAAAAAAAAATTGCCACAGCTGAATCAACCACTAACTACTTGTTTCTGCTTTTCACGTTTCATTATTTCAAGCACAAATTCAATGTGGTAATCAAAGATTTGCCAATTAGTTATACAACAAGCCATTATCAGTAGCAGAACTTACATCAAGTACTTCCAACATAGTGATTATGATTTCAAGTAGATGTTAGTCAGACTGTGATTTTGCGTACTTACATCAATATATGCATCAATTGACATAGGGACGACAGTATTCAGAAGACTATCTAACAAATACTTGTTTTCTCCATTTATTTGGAAGTTCTCATTCCTCACTACAAAGATGCCTGCTAACAAGGAAATTCTTCTGGTACTTGACCCAGGGGCCACAACAAAGCTTTTGATTTGCCAAGTAAGGAAGACACATAACTCATTCATGAAGCATTCCAATGACTTCTTGGAACTTAAAGAATAGAGTGAGATTTCCCCGCTCATTAACACAACACATCCTTCTTTGTTAGTAGCTATAGGCATGGAAGAAATTGTGGCAGATTCTACTGCTTTGCCTATTAACTTGACCAGGTTGAAAATTGTTTGCCAGTCTTTGCCATGAATGGCTAGGAGCATTTGAAAAAAAAAAAAGAGATACAGAAAGTAACAGTGACAGCATTAAGCCCCTCGCCTTCTGTGAGTACTTTCATAGCGTGAATTTAATTTCACTAAAACTGATAATGCATACTTAAGTCAATTTAAAAATTGACACCATCCTTCGGCCAGCAACATTACATATTTGACAATTTATTGTACATATTTTGCATGAACCTAATTCTATTTACAAATAAATAACAACCAACCATGATATGCCTGATTATATGTAAATGTCTGAGAATAATATTTTATTTATGGCTACTCATGGATGAAATTTAAAGATGATGACACAACCAGAACACAAGGGTTGTTCAACTTCATATGCAGCAAGACAAATTGTGAAGAATAAGCAAATGACTAACCGTACGAAGCGAGTATGTGCCACTGAGACGTGAGATCCATACCTGTCATGCTGAAAAATCAGAGATTAATTTGAAAGAGAGTAAAGAGTTAATCACATAGTATTTCGTTGCATTAGGATCAACAACAGCACTTAGTCCTTAAGCCGTAATGCCTCATCTTCGATACTCAAGCAATGGTATGACTTTCAATTTGCCTGAACTAATCAATACATAATAATAATTCATGTCAAATTATGACTAGATCCGTTCAAAGACTAAAGACTGACTAGACAATTTAGATCCAGTATGCCACAATACATTTTACAAAATTAAGCACTTAGGCTTCAATTATGAGTTATTGAAGAAACAAAAACAAAACCTCATTCTTTTCCATAGTTCCTTCAAACTTCAGTCTGCAATTATTCCCAAAACATTAATACTCCACAGGAAAAGACTCTGTAGGAGTTCTGAAGTATTTCAACCAAAGTACAACTTTCATGCTTCTTTTTTTCAGAAACCAAAGAGATGCAAAAAATCTACGAATTATGCTGAAATAAAATTTGCAACTAAGAGTAATCCATAAATTTGAAATGCATATCCAGAAACCTTCCCAACTTGAGCAATTAGGAAATACGTTTCGGAAATTCGTTTGCTTTGCCATTTTTACAAATACATTTTGGGCATTAGCGAAAACGGAACTTTTTTCTTTCAAATGTATTTCTAACCTATCCGAACTCACAACCAATGTTTCAGCAACACAAAAAATAAGAGAACCGAACAAATAATCTACCATTATTAACCTGAACTAAACCCACAAACAAGAAAGTAAGGTCATGAAAAGCATTTAAAATTGGAGCACAAAAATTCAATTTCAGATAATGACAATACGGCGATAGCGATGGCGATGGTGATAGCGGTGGTGGGCTGAAAATTACTAAAAAACAAAAAACCAAAGAAACTTCACCGTGCTTTTCTGAAGAAGAAATCCAGCCACCACAGTGCTGGCGAAGTCTGGTCGGCAAACAATAGCTCCTCTCTATTCCTCGAATTCCCTGTTTTGTTCTGGCTTTGCATTTGCTTTTCTTTTCTTTTTTTCCTTGTTCTCTTCTGTTTTGTTAGGTGGATGATTATGAAGATTGTGAAGGGATTTTGTCTAGGAAGAGATGTTGATTACTGATTCTAGGGAATGAAATGTCTGAAATGAGAGTGAGTTCTTCAATCGTTCAAGTTGCTTCCGAGACAAGAGTGAGTTTTGTCCGATGAATTGGAGAACAAAGAATGAGTCGGGCCACTGAACGCTTCAATCGTGCTTCTGAAATGCCCTTGAAGTTACCCAAAATTACAGTATAACCGGTGCTCTGGCAACTCTAAGTGCCTGTTTGATAACATAAAAAAGTGCTGAAACTGAATTCATTCAGACATTCAGATGTTGTGGGTGTTTGATAAATAAAAATTCACCTGCTGAATTTATTAAGTGGTGCTGAATTTGTATGTATTTTTTTCAGCACAAGAATCGTAGCTGAATGCTTAATTTGATAAGAATCAAGAGATTTACTTCAACTACTTTATCTTATCTACCAAATATATCCCTGTTTGTTAATTACATTCAAAATTCTTATCTAATTAAACAACCTAATATTCTCTATTCAAAATCCTTATCTAATTAAACAAAACAACTTGATATTCTTTATTCAAAATTTTTTTTAACAATAGTATTTTTTTGCAGTAATTTCCATCCACAAACATTTATATTTTGATATATATATTTTTTGTGCAGATAAATATTATTTATGTGATGCAACTCATCCACACACACGTGGCTTTATGACACCATATCGAAATATATAGATATTGGTTGTCTGAATTTCGAAATATTTCTCGTCCAAGATCAAAAGAAGAACGCTTTAACCAAGCACATGCAAGATTGAGAAATGTAATTGAACGTGCTTTTGGAGTATTAAAAGCTCGTTTTTCCATTATCAAAACGATGAAACTATACCCTTTTCCCACACAAAGAAACATTGTCATTGTATGCATTGCTCTTCACAATCATTGTCATTTTCATACCTAACAATTTTAAGTTAATTAAATCATAGGTTCTATTTCCTTTTTGGATTAAAAGATAGAAGGACAAAATTGTACAATTTAGCTTATTAAGCATTAAGTTATGAATATTTATCAAATAGTATAAATAGATTCAGCATTAAGATTCAGACATTCATATATCTCTTTTCAGTGCTTAAAATTTAGTAAATTAATTATTTCAGTATTCAGTATTCAGAATTCAGAATTCAGAATTCAGATTCAGTGTTATCAAACGGAGCCTAAGTGCCTGTTTGATAACATAAAAAAGTGCTGAAACTGAATTCATTCGGACATTCAGATGTTGTGGGTGTTTGATAAATAAAAATTCACCTGCTGAACTTATTAAGTGGTGCTGAATTTGTATGTATTTTTTTCAACACAAGAATCCTAGCTGAATGCTTAATTTGATAAGAGTCAAGAGATTTACTTCAACTACTTTATCTTATCTACCAAATATATCCTTGTTTGTTAATTACATTCAAAATTCTTATTTAATTAAATAATCTAATATTCCCTATTCAAAATCCTTATTTAATTAAACAAAACAACCTGATATTATCTATTCAAAAAATTTTTTTAACAAATAATATTTTTTCGCAATAATTTTCATCCACAAACATTTATATTTTGATATATATTTTTTTTGTGCAGATAAATATTATTTATGTGATGCAGTTTATCCACACACACGTGGCTTTATGACACCCTATCAAAATATTAGATATTGGTTGTCTGATTTTTGAAATGCTTCTCGTCCAAGATCAAAAGAAAAACGTTTTAACCAAGTACATGTAAGATTGAGAAATGTAATTGAACGTGCTTTTGGAGTATTAAAAGCTCGTTTTTCCATTCTCAAAACGATGAAACCATACCCTTTTTCCACACAAAGAAACATTATCATTGTATGCATTGCTCTTCACAATCATTGTCATTTTCATACCTAACAATTTTAAGTTAATTAAATCATAGGTTCTATTTCCTTTTTGGATTAAAAGATAGAAGGGTAAAATTGTACAATTTAGCTTATTAAGCATTAAGTTATGAATATTTATCAAACAGTATAAATAGATTCAGCATTAAGATTCAGACATTCATATATCTCTTTTCAGTACTTAAAATTCAGCAAATTAATTATTTTAGTATTCAGAATTCAGAATTCAGAGTTCAGAATTCAGATTCAGTGTTATCAAACGGAGCCTAACTCGCGCTTTTAGTATAGTAAGGACTAAGTGCCTGTTTGATAACATAAAAAAGTGCTGAATACATTCAGATGTTGTGAGTGTTTGATAAATAAAAATTCACCTGCTGAACTTATTAAGTGTTGCTGAATTTATATGTAATTTTTTCAGCACAAGAATCGTAGCTGAATGCTTAATTTGATAAGAATCAAGAGATTTATTTCAACTACTTTATATTATTTACCAAATATATCCCTGTTTGTTAATTACATTCAAAATTCTTATCTAATTAAACAATCTAATATTTTCTATTCAAAATCCTTATTTAGTGCCTGTTTGATAACATAAAAAAGTGCTGAAACTGAATTCATTCAGACATTCAGATTTTGTGAGTGTTTGATAAATAAAAATTCACCTGTTGAACTTATTAAGTGGTGCTGAATTTGTATGTAATTTTTTCAGCACAAGAATCTTAGCTGAATGCTTAATTTGATAAGAATCAAGAGATTTATTTCAACTACTTTATCTTATCTACCAAATATATCCCTGTTTGTTAATTACATTCAAAATCCTTATCTAATTAAACAACCGAATATTCCCTATTCAAAATCCTTATCTAATTAAGCAAAACAACCTGATATTCTCTATTCAAAATTTTTTTTAACAATAGTATGTTTTTTCAGTAATTTTCATCCACAAACATTTATATTTTGATATATATTTTTTTTTGTGCAGATAAATATTATTTATGTGATGCAGCTTATCCACACACACGCGGCTTTATGAAACCATATCGAAATATTAGATATTGGTTGTCTGATTTTCGAAATGTTTCTCGTCCAAGATCAAAAGAAGAACGCTTTAAACCAAGCACATGCAAGAAACATTTGATAACACTGAATCTGAATTCTGAACTCTGAACTCTGAATTCTGAATACTGAAATAATTAATTTGCTGAATTTTAAGCACTGAAAAGAGATATATGAATGTCTGAATCTTAATGCTGAATCTATTTATACTGTTTGATAAATATTCATAACTTAATGCTTAATAAGCTAAATTGTACAATTTTGCCCCCTTCTATATTTTAATCCAAAAAGGAAATAGAACCTATGATTTAATTAACTTACAATTGTTAGGTATGAAAATGACAATGATTGTGAAGAGCAATGCATACAATGACAATGTTTCTTTGTGTGGGAAAAGGGTATGGTTTCATCGTTTTGAGAATGGGAAAACGAGCTTTTAATACTCCAAAAGCACGTTCAATTACATTTCTCAATCTTGCATGTGCTTGGTTTAAAGCGTTCTTCTTTTGATCTTGGACGAGAAACATTTCGAAAATCAGACAACCAATATCTAATATTTCGATATGGTGTCATAAAGCCGCGTGTGTGTGGATAAGCTGCATCGCATAAATAATATTTATCTGCACAAAAAAAATATCAAAATATAAATGTTTGTGGATGAAAATTACTGCAAAAAAATATTATTGTTAAAAAAAATTTTTGAATAGAGAATATCAAGTTGTTTTGTTTAATTAAATAAGGATTTTGAATGTAATTAACAAACAGGGATATATTTGGTAGATAAGATAAAGTAGTTGAAGTAAATCTCTTGACTCTTATCAAATTAAGCATTCAGCTACGATTCTTGTGCTGAAAAAAATACATACAAATTCAGCACCACTTAATAAGTTCAGCAGGTGAATTTTTATTTATCAAACACCCACAACATCTGAATGTCTGAATGAATTCAGTTTCAGCACTTTTTTATATTATCAAACAGGCACTAAGGATGTATAAAATAAATCAAAAAAATACAGCTGAGCGTATCAATCATACGATTCTGATTCTGGCATTATTGTTATTTCAACTAGGTAGTATATTATGAAGTACAAATAACAAAAATAATAATTACCATGGTTAGTAACAAATAATAATAATAAATCTAATACTAATAGTAATAATAATAGAATTTTTAGAAGCACAAAAAATAATGGCTAGCACACATAAATTACCACATAAATGCGGAAATTTATTTTGGTTGCTCTCCCTATTTATACACTTTCTTGATTTACTTTCCCTTTTCCAAAAATTAGTTCCCCATGATCAACCAAAAATGCTAACTCGAACTTGCTAAATTTAAACATGGTTCCTATTGTGTTCCTGAGTCACCACTTTCTTCTACATTGTGTCTCTTTTTTTGCTAATTTTCTCTTGATTCCTTAAGGAAAAAATTATTCCTTTTCAATTTCTTGTACAAAAAAGGAAATGTTTCGTCTTATAATTGTGAATCTAACTTCTATTCCTTTCAATTTTTTACCCTCTCCCACGAAAGGAAGAAACTATAAAACCCTAAATTTTATAGTTTTCTTCACAAGAAGGTAGCCACAGCCGCTTTCTCTTCACAATACAATTGTATCAGTAGAATGATTTCTTGAGTTTCTAGGTATGTTTTTTAATAGTGTTGTTTTTAATACTATCTTATTCGAGTACCAAAGCATATTTAATCCAATAACGATTCTATGATTATTTCAATGTTTCTGCATGCAAGAATACACATGCGTATCTGAGCATTTATTTTATCTGATTATTTTAAACTTTTCAGGCTTTTAATTATATTTGTTGCTTATTGCATTTTTTTATTATTTTCAATTTTTGTAAATGTTGTTGTGTACATCCATATGAAGTTTGTAAAGGAGATTTGACTGGGTTTTCTGAGGGATATTTGCATTATAAACCTCTCAACTGCAAATTTGGTTGTTAAAAAAAAGAAAAAAAAACTAGAAATGTAACTGATAATCTGAAAATTAAGAGCTTAATTGAAATTTAAATCATTCGCATGTATCTATTCCAATGCCATAATATATACAGGAGACAATAGCATTTGTCTAGCATTGTTGAAAAGACTTGGATTAGCATTGTTAGGCATAGTTAAGGAAAAGATTACCCAATAGTTATAGTATACTATTTCTATTTGCAGTATGTGTTCTTCGCACTTCATTTAAATAAAATATCACTAGGCTAATTATT